CACACTGCTCCGACACAAAGGCACAATAAAGTAAAACTTTAAGAGCACCCCTTTGTTATTAGGTACTGAACAGATCGATCCCCACGTGACGAACCCGCCGACTCAGGCTGGGCTCCCCCGCCCCTGCGAGCTGGTAGGGGAATAGTGAAGCCAGATCATACGAGCACCAGAGGCCTTCTAGGCCAGGAGTGCCGGACCTCCAGGACCCTCCGGCAGCAGCAGAAGCACCGAGACACAGAGCTCAGTGTCTGCGCCTCCGTACCGCCTCCCAGCACTCACACGCACAAACACGCGTACCACCCTGGCTCAGGCTAGGCCCGCGGAGCACCGGCAGCCTAAGTAACGGGCCAGGCGGGAGGGTGCCCCATTACCTCGGCGTGGCTGCTCCGAAGGAAAAGCCCCCGCCCCCTCCTCCTGTCCCGGCGGCGGCGGCCGCCGCGGAGCCCAGGGTCCCCGCGCCGAAGGAGAAGCCCGCAGACATGGCGGCAGATGCGGGAACGGCCGTATAGCGGAGCCGGGAGGCTGCAGCGGGGCCGGTCGGCGGGGGCCCGGGAGGGGCAGTGGTGGCGGCGGCCTGCTCCGGCGCGGCGGTGGCTGCTCAGGGCCTCATCGCGCCAGGCGACCGCTTCGAACCGAACGGCGGCAGAAACCGCGCGCACGCAAGCCACGCGCTGTACGGGCGCCCGCCGCAATGCACCACGGGACAGCCGCACCGCCCGCCCACCCGCCCGCCCTTAAAGCGACAGTAACGTGTGGGACGGCACTGCCGCTCCGCCCGTAACAGCCCTTTGGGCCGGTGCAGCCTCCTTGGGACGTTGCTGGTGGTGCGGGCGGCCAGGGGTGTGACTCTCGGGAGGGTCCCACCCTGGTAGGCGGAAGCACGCGAGGGTGAAGCCCTGAGTAAATGTATTTCTCAGGTACATTTAAATTGCCCGTGGGTCTGCGGGCACTTTAAATGTACCTGAGTGCCTGGATGAACCGTGACGCTGTGAGAAGCTCACATGGTTTCCTCCAGAGTCCCTCACAGCATGCAGAGCAACGCACACCCAGCTCTGTTGTGCTGCTCCACGCTGTGGCTGCTGAAGGCTCTGGGTGGCCACAGATAGTGTTTACTGAAATGATGTTCGAGATCATTTCTGGGTGATTTGATTGCTGTCCGTTATAGGAGGCAGAGCTTCAGGTGTAGTTAAATGTAATTTGTGGTTTAGTCGATGTTTACTCATGCCTAGCTTTGAACGTGCTAAAGAAATTAAAGCCCCCAAACTGTTGGCTGTTAAATGGCACTTATAGAGGGATTTCTGTAGAGTTGTTTGCCAACAAATTCTTCTGATCTGACAGGCCATGAAGTGACAAAATATACTGGCATAACAGGAAAAAGGGCAGAGTGATGCTTTTACAGTATGATTTTAATAACTCATAGGATCATAGAATCAACTAGGTTGGAAAAGACCTTTAAGATCATCAAGTCCAACCATTACCTGTGGATGGATTTTTAGCAAAGAATGGCCATGTTCCCAAGTCAGCAAGTGCCTATGTGGAGTTTGACATGAACCGAGGATGAAGGAGGACGTGGGTAAGGAAGCAGGAGTTACGGTACAAGCAAGATAAGAAGAAACTGGAATGTGCTAAGATACAAAACTGTGAACTGTAGGCAAGTTTTAAAGGTTAGGCTCCTGCGTTCCTATTTGACCAATTGTATACTAGGTGCTGTGAGCTGCAAGAGTATGTATCCAATCATAATACACCAAGTTATTGTAAGCAGATGCAGACAATAGTATAAAAAGGATAGATGCTTTGTAATAAATGACTTCTGTCTGATCACATTGATCTCTTGAGTCCTTTTCTGCAGCAAATGGTGCCCAACGTGGGGCACCCCCCTATATTTTCATATTGAAATTGAAGAAATTAAAGAGTGTGACACTGAAGAAAGCGGAATGCGGTGCCGCAGGGACATTGGCTGGATACGATTCGGCAGGACCAGGATCAGGAGGTAGATGCCTCAGAGGTAGATGCCTCGAAATGGAGCCTTGTGAGCCTGGAAGTCACTGCAGTGCGATTAAGGTGAACAGCCGACGGGTGTGGAAGAGGATTAGGATGGGTAACTAATTAAGCAAAGAAGAAACAGCCATCCTTAAGCTCTTCCAACATATCCTCTCAGCAAGAGGGACAGAGTATGACGATAATCTGTTACAAAGACTATTGCTCTGAAGTAAAGAAAAAGAGCTGATCCAGGGGGTTAATGAAGCTTTTGAGCTTGAGATTTGGGAAAAAAATGGGGCATACCTGTGGGATGAAGTTACCTGTAGGTCTAAAGAGGCAAAGTCTCTCGCTGCCCTGTGGTGACTGCTGAAAGAGACTCTAGTTGTGATGAAGGCTGAAAAACAGGTGGCAAAATCCACTTTTACAGCTTTCTCTGACTCGCCTTCACAGCAGCAGGGGCCATCACCTACATTAGATTCAGCACCTGGCACTACAGCCATGGTCGTGTCGCCTGCTTCAGGCATAAAACATTCTGTCCAAAAGCCTGTGTGCCGTAAGGTACGAATGTTTGAGGATCCTGTGTCCTTCCCCTATCCTGTGCCGACAGCACCTTTATTGGCAGCAGCCCCAGCTGATACTTGGGAGCTTGTAGGGGTTAATGAGCAACCAAAACAATCTCATGTAAACCCTTTTCATGCTGCTACTGCCCCTGAAACCAATCTCCACGACTTTTTGCTGGGGTGGGAGTCTCCTGAGGAGAATAGTTGAAGCTCCAAATAGATACCCACCTTTGCCACCTGCACCACCGCTTGCATCGCTCCCACCAGAGCTGCAAAATGAGCGGGAATGGGGACAATGGACAAAACTTTTAGATAAAAAATAGCAGGACCTGCGAGACCATTTTGAAAAATTGGGGGCAAAGGAGAGGGAGCAAGCCCCAGAAAAACCAGACAAGATCAATCCCTTTGATGTGTCATTGCCACCGACTTCAACATCTTCTAATCAAGCTAATCCTAGTGCCATGAGATGGCGAGGTTGCATTCAGGATGCAATCACAGATGGTACCATCTTACCGATCAATGTTCCCTGGTGTAGTACAGGCTTAGATGAAAATTGGGGTTTTACAGCAAGTGCAGCAATCGGCTTTAGCTGCTCTGAAAGCTGTGCCAGAAGCGGGAAAACCTAATCCTACTTATACATTGATAAAACAGGGAGTTACTGAGCCATATATGCAATTTATTGATAGATTATCAGAGGCTATTGAAAAGAATATTGATTTGGCATCTAGTGTTAAAGAATCTGTACTTATGTCTCTGGCTATGGAAAATGCTAACCCCACTTGTAAGAGTATTTTGAAGGCATTGCCAAAATCTGCTGGTCTTCAGGAAATGATGGATGCCTGTTCTAAGGTGGGCACAGCAGAGGAAAAGGCCGGATACATGGCTACTGCCTTTGCCACTGCTGTTAAGCCCCTTCTACAACAAGGTCAAGGTGATTGTGGGGGTACTAGAGGTGTGAGATGTTACAATTGCGGATGGATTGGACATTTTAGAAAGCAACGTACTGCAAAGAAAACTATTCCAACGATCTGCCCCCCCCCCCCACCCCCAAGTGGTGTTTCAGGTTTTGCAGACAAATGTACTGGATGTGACAAATTTGGCCACAAGACAGTTGAATGTCATTCAAAGGTTAAAAAGGATGGAACCCTGTTGGGAAACTTGAATGTGAGCGCGACACCGCCCCACGCGATGACACAAAATCAGGGTGTCTGGACCGCATCCCCTCCGCCACTGCAGGGAGTGCCAGAGTGGACTTGGCAACAGCAATAGATTTTACCATAATAGATACCTCTGTTCATTGCATTCCATCTAAATTAGATGGGCCCCTTCGTCATGGGTTATGTGTTTTGCTACTGGGACATTCATCAACATCAAGAAAACGATTCTTTGTGTTACGCAGTGTAATTGACGTTCACTATACTGGAAATATTGGGATCATGGTGCAAACACATACTCCCCCAGTCAATATCCACGAAAATTTAAAAATAGCTCAATTAATCCCATTTGAGGCAAAAGTCCCTCAGGTAGGGCAGAAAATTAGAGGAAATCACGGCTGGGGTTCCATTGGAATACCACAAATTTTATTTGCTTTAGACATAGCAAAGCACAAACCCGAAGACCAGATCTCTATAAGGGGTTGTCATAATCAAACAATTAAGCTGTCTGTATTGATTGATACAGGGGCTGATGTCACTATTATACCGTATCATCAATGGCCAAAGACCTGGCCTTTGGAACTTGCTACCACAGCAGTTGTTGGAATAGGGGGGGATGCAATCCACTCAAATCAGTAAAGAATTGGTGGATGTGTTCCTGTCTGATGGGAGTCATACCCGTATTAGACCATATGTTATGTCTTCTCTTATTGCATTGCTGGGATGAGATGCTCTCAGTCAAATGGGAATGAAACTGACCAGGCTGAGGGGGATCTTATCAATATCTTTGACTACCTGACCAGAGGGCACAAAGTACATAGAGCCAGAGTCTTCCCAGTGGTGCCCAGTGACAGGACCAGAGGCAGTGGGCACAAACTGAAACACAGAAAGGTCTATGTGAACATCAGGAAACACTTCTTTTGTTCTGTGAGAGCAACTGAACTTTATAGTTTGCCCAGAAAGATCCATCCTTGGCAATAGTAAAAACCCACCTAAGCATGGTACAGGCTCTGAGTGGCCCTATTTACACATAGGGGTTGGACTAGGTACTTCCAGAGGTTCCTTCCTACCTCAACCCTCTATGATACTACAAGAACGACAGTCTTCCGGGAATTTCTTCATTCACGAGACTCTGAAACTCTACGTGTCACGAATGGAGGCCTGGATTAACCAGGCAACGCCTGCCCCTGCGCACACGCCTCCTGCCTCACTGCGGGCAGGCTGGCGCTACCGCGCATGCACGCTGTCCGCGGAGACGTTGTGCCCCCCATGCGCCGCGAGGGGGCGCTGCAGGCAGTCAGCACGGCCCGGCTCCGCCCCGGAAGCGTTCCTGGGTGACGGCCGCACCTGGCCGGCGGTGCTGCGGCTGGTGGCGGCTGCAGGGAAGTGGTGCTGCTATGGAGCACATCCGCACCACCAAGGTACCTCTGCCTCGGCCTCTCTGTCGGCTGCGAGCACGGTGGTGGTGGTGGTGGTGGTGGTGGTGGTGTTGTCGGCGCTGCGCAAGTAGCTGTGGGGTGGGGAGGGCCTGTTCGGCCCGGCGAGCCCCTGCACCGCAGCTGTCAGCTGTGGGTGAGGGCGTTGTTGTCCGCCGCCTTCCATTTTGTAGCTGGTGTCTTCCCGCGAGTGGCTCCGGGGCGGTCCATGCTTGTGGGGGTATCCTGGGAACAGCTGGCACCGGGGTGCTGCTGCCTCGGGGCTCCGGGCACCTGCCTTCTTGGAGGCTCCTCCGGCTGTCCCTCCTCACGGGGCTGGAAGGTGTGTGTGAGAGCTCCCGGGAGGGGCTCTGTGCGTGCCTCCCCGGTGTGGCCCTGCAGAGTGAACCGTGCCCTAAATGACAGGAAGGCGATAAAAGTCCTCCTGGTGTAACAGGGGTGTGGAAGCACCAGCAGCCATCTGGAGACGGCTGCAGTTGGCTTTTGTATTCTGGATGCGGTTCCATGCCGCTTTTCCTAGCTCTGGAGGCAAATAGGCTGTGACAACAACATTGTTTTCTTTTTTTTTTTCTTCCATTTAAAGGCTGTGGTGTGTGTTGTTAGGAACGCAGGCTATCAGTATGCGAGCAATGTGTTAGGCTATTCAAAAACATTAGCTAAGCCGCAGTTGGCACTATAGGCTTCTCTGTGCCTTTTTTCCTATTTTTAGTTTGTTAGTTTGTTTTTCATCTGTATTGAAGATGTAAAAAAGCTCGTTCTTTCTGTAAATAAATATTTTTTTTTAATGTCCTAGCTTTTATAGAATTACTTTTCTAGCAGTATCTTTCCCATCTTGCTCATCAGCCCTTACTGGGAGGGCTGCTAAAAAGACTGCCTCTCTGTCGGGTTCTGGAAACTGTCAAGTGATTAGTTCCCTAACCTGGCAGACTTGACTTTAAATGAGATTTATAGGTGTGTGAAGAAAAGGAGTGGTCATATTTCAGCTGTAAATAGTTGTCCTTTAACCAGTAATTATATAAAGAAACAATATTTTCTATTAATACCTTATTTTTATGTGAAATGTGAGTAGTTTTTATTTTTCATATATATTTGTATGTGTGTATGTGAAAAAGGAGGTCTCTGATGAAGCTGCTCTTAGTGACACGTGACACCTAGTACACTAGATTACTGGATGAAATAATCTTGCACCAAGATCACAGATTGGAGATAAGTTTTTTTTGTCAGCCTATTTACTTGCAAACCTGAAACTCCTTGTTTAGGAGCTTAATGTGGCAGTCAATAGCTAACTTCAGGATAAAAAATAGACTAAAGCTAAAGTCTTTTGATGACTTGAGTGCCTGTGTAAGTTTAAAACTTGAAACTGAGACTGGAAAGGTACAGGTCACTGAATTCTTTCTATTTGTAGATCAGTCTTTCTGCAGGTTGTTGGTTCCCTGCTGGGGAAAAAATACTTTTTGTAGCAATATAACTGGAGAGAGAAACAAGCTCTAAAAGCAGCTTATACAAAACTTACTGCTTGAAGCAAGTATTTTTATAATTCATTAAAAAAATAATCTGTTCTAAAAGTATCAAATTCATGGCTAGAAATAGCATGAGGATTTGGTGATAATTGTGATGCTTGCTTAGCTTTTTGTATCTGTTAGTTTATTTAATATCCAGGTGGATTAAAAAGCATATATGCTAGATGGTAGTAATTCGAAGCTTTACAGTTATAGGAAGTAAGAAAACTGAAGTACAGCCTGCACTGTGGGCCTTAAAACTTCAGTGCATGTGTAGGCTCAAGTTGGATCTCATTGAGACACATTTACTTTTTCTAATCTGACAACACTTAACATTTTTTGGTTTTTTTTTTCTGTTTGTTTTATTAAGGTAATAATGAAATAAGCTTGAAATAACAGTACAGTCTGGCACAAATTAGCTGCTGTCCAGGGAAGTTGTCATCCCTTAGAGAATGTGATGAAATAGGTTTTATTCTTCCTCAAACTTCAGTTTGCTGGAAATGTTGAAGCTAGAATTGTCCTGAAACTGTCCGCACAGCTCTCTGAAATACAGTTTACGGCTTGCGAAATTAAACTGTCCAACAGATTTATGTTGAATAAAGAAATGAGATCAACATCGTAATAACTTCTGTCTGAGAAATTTATACTTGAATAGCAACAAATGATGAAAGCCAGTTCACAATATATGGTAGTGAAATTACAAATAAGAATATTGTGGTTTTGCAATGAAGCTTTAAAACTGAAGTGTCCCTAAAAATACCTTAAAGCAAAGCAAGGTAGAAAAGACTCTAATTTCTTCAGTCAAGTCTAGATTTATGTTTGAAATCAAACCTGTTTTAGTTAAAATACTGATGGGTCTTCTATTGAGGAGGAAAAGTTTTGCTTAGCTTGACTGCTAAATCCCAAACTTATGTTTGCAAGACTGAGACTTAAATGGGTAAGGGAAAATGCATTTTAATCTCAGTGAATGTTGAGTAAAAGAATCCTCAAATAACATACTATAATTGTTTTGTCTTGGATTAATTGTTCTAATTTAACTCTTCAGCTTTTTTGATGCAAGACTTCAGAAGTATAGTTTCAGCCTTCCTTTCTGTTCTAACTTGTATCCTATATTGAAACATTTCCTTGGTTTTTTTGCCTTTGGTCTGTAACTCTTAATCCCAATAAACTGTTCAGTGACTCATTCACTGTAAGTGCTCTGTATTATTGAGGTAGTTGTTCAAATTCTTACTGGTTTAGAAACTCATGAATTTGTTATTGCTAGCTGCTGTCAAATGTCAGTTGTGACTAAAAATGTTTGTTTGCAGATGTGCTAAAACTCAGTAGCAGTCTTCAGTTTCTTAATCTTGTGAACTCATTCTCTGAACTGATGGCTGGCATGTTTTTCTGTAACTAAGGATTTGCCAAACTTTACAATAAAAAGAAAGTGTCTGTCTAGCTGAATACCTGTTAAAGCTGGTCTGGGCAAAGTTTACATGAACATGTAATCTGTGGAGGCTGAATCTGAATTACATTTTGGTGGTGTTTAAAGATTCTTGAAGATTTCACCTATGTAAGAGGAAGCTGGAGCACTAATGCCTGTCCTTATCTAACATAGAAATACAGCTTTCAGAATAGCTGCCTTGTTACATGGAGGAGAATGGAACTTCACATGCTTGGATTTTGTGGGTTGTGTTACAGAAACAAAACGAGCAGTTTCTGTGCACGTCTCAATTTGCTGAGGAGGTGCAGTGACAGGTACCTGAGCAGTTACTGCTGCCGAACTGTCCAAAATAGAATTCTGTTTTGGCTGTGATATACTGATTTATGCTGCTCTGTATCTGGGCAATGTAACCTTGCTGGTTACAGCATAATGTATTTTGAGGTACTGATGCATGTATCTTCCAAGTATTTATTTTTGCTTTCTAAATTGAAACCTAGAGTATCCTAGTATCGCTGGATTTTAGTTGATGTTTGTGTTTCCTACATTGTTTTGTATGCATTAAGTGGCTTTTCTAACTTTCAGACACAAAATCAGGCCTTGCTAGATTGTAAAAAATACCAGAATTGGTAAGGCAATTTTGTGTAATTATATGTGCTTTTAGTAGATAAATAAGTTTGTATATGTGAATTACAAGCGGCTTAACATCAGCACAGTAGATATGAGCTGTCTTAGTCACCTCATCTGAGTGCTGGTCTTGCTGGTGTGTAAGTTTTTTTGAGTTCTATCACTCATTTAATGTCAGTAACAGCCAGCCTCAAGCAAAAGAGCTTTAACTGGGCATTAATGGCACAGTACTGCCAAGAAATTGAGGAATGTGTGGAGATAAGCCATGCTCCTTTCCTGTTTTTGCACGTAGATAATCATGTAATGTTTTCTTCAAATTAAGCAAACTGTGGAGCCTGTGAAGTTATAAGCAGCAGATAAAATGCAGGCTATCTAGAAATCACTTTATTTTGAATTGTTTTCTATAGGATTGAGATAACAATGGTGATGGAATACCAGGAGGAGAAATTTGCCCTTGCAAGACTCAAGTTTGAAACTCCAAATGGCAGTCCTTGGATTTCTAGGAGATTATTAAAATTATTAGTATTCCAATAGTATTTTATTTTTGACTGAGGCAAGGTTATGATGATCGAGATTTTTAAAGTTGGGGATGATATAAAAGACAGTAGATACCTAAAACTGAAGTCAGGAGGGACATCATTTTTATGGCTTTGAGACTGCAGAGAGCCAATGAAGCATGTTACTGAGATGAGCTATTGATTTATTCAGTACTGGCATCTCAATAACAGGAAATTGTTAGTGTGTGTGTGTTTGCTGTTTTGGGGAAGGAGTCTAAAAGCTTATTAATGTTCTTAATTATTTAAAAAAAGATTGATATCTTGGTCTGTTTTACTAGTAAATAACCATGGTAGTTATGTACATGGAATAAGTATTCAGAGTCTAGCGTTGTGCCTTCATTATTCACTTTTGTACTGAAACAGGATATTGTAGCTAGTCAGTCTTCTCAAAGCTTGTGTGACCACTATTGTGTTCTTAATAGTTTAGCCTGAATATTTGTATGTATGCTGTGTTATGCTTTCTGTTGTTTTCTACTGACAGACCTTTTTGCAGTTACTATTTTGCTTCGTGCAAAAAAAAACCACACCAAAATTAACTTTTGCTCCCCCTCCTTTTTTTTTTTTTTTTGTCCTTACAGGTCGAGCAAGTGAAATTACTAGATAGGTTTAGCACAAGCAATAAGTCACTGACGGGAACTCTATACCTTACAGCAACTCATCTGTTATTCATAGATTCAAGCCAGAGAGAGACATGGGTAAGGATGATGAATGTTGCACCTCAGAAGCTGAGATTCTCCAGCTGCATTTGTGTTTCCTGATCTAAGGTTAAATTTGTTTACTGAAATGTTCATCAAAGTTCTAAGTTATTCCCCACACTCCCCTTGTTCATGATATCATGATAAGTTAATGATTTACAGATTGTACTCTTGCATGACACTGCTGCAGTTGAAATTGGGTATTGTTGAAAATGTTCACTTCTCAAGCTGCTGTAATTTCTTCCTTAGCCTTCATTTGTATTCCTGAATGTGTGGTGGTTTTCTTTGAATAACTGACTTGCACCACAATTTAGAGGCGGGAGTGGGAAACTGATAGGTAGTTTCAGCATCAGGTTTAAAATTTATGTGTTAATTTACTTTGTATTTAGAGCCTGCCTAAGTTAAATGAGACAGAAAAATCAAAAGATCTAGGCTTTTGTGAAATACTGAAGATCCCATGTCCTTTTTTGAGTGGTGAGCAGCAGTTTCTTCCCAAGTCATCATTTCTGGAATAAAATAATGCAGAAGGGGCTTCAGCTTCTTGGTGACCCATGCCGATGTTGTACCATCAAAGTTGGCTAGTACAGTAATTCCCATTAGCTTTTCTGTTCAGGGCCCTAATGGCACGCATGTGGACATCAAGGTCTGGCTTTCGCCGTAGCTCAGCTATCTGGCCAAATGAGTGCCTGTCATCCTTCAGGATGAAATCTCATTTCCCTGGGTGTGGTTAATTTTTTTCCTGTAGGTGTATTTTTCTAGTTTACCCTTCATCCTGTATCCTGGTTGTCCAACTAGGTGCCTCATGGTGCTTTCAAGAAGTTATTTTTCTCCGATTTGTTCTTGGGTACAATGTACAATTTTATATAAACCAAATTGTATCCTTTCAGGCAAAATGGGTACTGGGGAGAACATGATTCAGAAGTATTATTTGTGTCTCCCTGTGCACTATGTTAAAAGGTTTCATTTTGGGGAAATTGCACCTGCATTCAGAGTATTGCATTTCTGTGATGATAATGCAAGTACCAAGTATAATTACGATAATGTCTTCAAGGTATAGTTTCTTTGTAAATGCATATTTGGCATTTCAGATGCCTATCTGATCAGTATTTAAGAGAAGATGATTGTTTCAGTGAGGCAATTAAAATTCTACAAGAACATCTTGTTCAGTTGAGGTAATGTATCTGTGGCTTTCTTCCCATGATTGAACAGTTGTTAGTTTCCTAAGTGTTATGTAAATTTGCCACAAAGATAAATCTATCAAGGGCTTTTGTATATCCATTACTGACAGTCTTCTATAAAGTGGTTGGAAGGCAAAAATTAGCTGAGAAACTCATGTCTACATAACACAATGGGTAGTACAGATGTTTTTCTTATCTCCTGTTCATTCTGTAGATGTTGAATACTAGCATTCTAAAATCTTCATCTTCTGTATCTTATACTTTTAATTGCTTTTCCTGACTAGTTCTGTTTTGCCTGAAAATTCTGAAATATGTTCCTGTAGATCCTTAAAATAAAAAAGCATCCTGTTTGGGTCCTGCCTAATTAGAAGTAAGCTGGTCAGTTAACAAAGTTACAGAGGAGTAGCCACAGTGGAGCTTTAATTCTTCCTTTTGGATTTAGAAGGTATTTATTATTCCTTATAAACATTAGGTAGCACTTCAGAATATGAAGTGAGAGAATAACAGTTTTTTGAAAACTTATGATATCCTGACCAAAATGCCAGTCTTGGATTTCTTCTTCTAAATTTATTTCTTTTTATAACTAAATGATTGACAAAGTTAGTCAAAGTCCATATTCAACATTGCTTAATGTGTCTTACATCTGTTCTTGTAAACAGTACGTATGCTGTTCTCATTTTTCATCAGTGTGCTAACACTGAGGTTTTGTATGCTGCAGATACTACATCATCACATTGCTGTGGTGGAAAAACTTCCCTTGACTACTTCTGGCTGCCCCCTTGTCATCCAGTGCAAGAACTTCAGGATAGTTCACTTTGTCGTTCCCAGGGAAAGAGACTGTCATGACATTTATAACTCTTTGCTTCAGCTGTCAAGAACAGGTAATACTTCTAACTGTAAAAGACTTTGCAGTATATGCCTGAATAACAAGGTGGTGGTGGTAAATCTGTGGCTCTTAATATTTTATTTTTTATGTGCATTACGTAAAAGTCAATAAATGGGTTTGGTATGTAGAGGAATTTTAACGGTTAAGCATTCATTTCCATATGAATTCAGAAGATGTGTTGTCTGGCTCTTGTAGGTCACTGGTCTTTACTAAGAGAATGTGAGATTCCTGTGTTGTTTTGCCTTTCTAGTGTTATTCCTAAAATTGTGACTGTAAATGCATATAGTCTCTTAATTGGTGTGCTCCATAGATAAAATGCTTACGAAGTCTTCTAATAATTCTGCCCATTGCCTTAATTTTGTCAGTTTTCTTTTTGTGACCTTTGCTTTGCCCTGATGGAATTAGAAATGTTCCTGCTGAAACAGGTCATGCACACTCAAGAAAGCTTTCATAACCTGCCTCTAACTAAGTATATATAATTGTGTCAGTTAACTGTATGATAAATATATCAAGAGTGTCAAGTATCTATTTAGTCTTGCTTCTGAGAATCTTGAAGGCTGAAACTTTCTCTGCAGTTTGGGCAACTTCAAGACGTGCCAACTGTGCTGCCTTTCTCCACTCAGACCTTTCTGGGGACAACTCATTACATAGTCTTATTCTTTACCTTTTAGCAAAATATGAAGATCTGTATGCGTTCTCTTATAATCCAAAACAAAATGAATCTGAGCAAGTCAAAGGCTGGCAACTTATTGATCTAGCAGAAGAATATAAGAGAATGGGAGTGCCAAACACAAACTGGCAGTTGTCTGATGCAAATCGTGATTATAAGGTGAGTGCTGTAATGGAAATGTGTTTTGCTTTGCATTTTTTTCTGCTCTTTCCTCTGACTCTAGTCCTGTAGAAAGCAATCTAATACTATGAGTATGATTACCTGTTTGAAGAAAGTCTGGTGCTCTGCAGCATTGTTACCTCTTAACTAAGAAGGATTCTGCTTGAGCATTTGCAGTGTTGGCTGTGGGAGACAGTGGCTGTGGTGGTGCAGCCAATTCACGGATTAATTTTCATTCTGTTTTATAGTCTGCAAATACTAAAAATGAGGGAAATAATTTCAATATTTTATTTGAAACAAAGTCATAGCATTTCTGCTGAAGTGGAATTCTTGAGAAGTGAGTGCAAGTATAGCAGTGCTTAACTGTATAACTTGGCTACCAATTTGTACTACTTTATCTGTGGCTTGTCTCCTCTTCTGAGCTGTTTCTGTATACATAGAGAAACATGTTAGTGTTTAACCTTTGCCTTATTTCACCTACCATCCCTCAAATTGCATATACTAGTATAGGCTTTGCCTTGTACATAAAATTCTGTTTGTGTGTCTCTCTTTCAGATTTGTGAAACCTATCCTAGAGAACTTTATGTTCCCAGAACTGCAAGCAAGCCCATAATTGTTGGTAGCTCCAAGTTCAGAAGCAAAGGAAGGTTCCCAGTTTTGTCATATTACCATAAAAATAAAGAGGTATGGTGTATGTTCCTCTTAATACAAATGTACTGAAGAGTATTTCTCAATATTTGTCAGTAGTTCAGGATGGGCAAGGGGGTAAGTACAGTGACATGTATGAGAATGGTATAACTCATGATAACCTTAAATACAGCTGATGCTAGTAGTGTCTAACAGGCTCTTGAATTAAGCTAAGCCAGGTTAAAAGAAATCCTTAAGTAATCAGTTGAATATCTTAAAGTTTTCAGAGGCTGACCTTAAGATAAATGAAAATAGCTTTTTGTCAAGTTATCTGTCTTCTTTGATATATTAAAAATAAAATCTGTTAGATCAAATACTCCTCCCTCCCCCTACCAGGAAAACCCCAAAACAACAACAACAAAAAAAAACAGCAAAAAACACCCCCCCCAAAAAAAACAACAACAAAAAACCAAACCCCCCACAATAACAGGAAAAACCCCAACAGCAAAACAACAACAAAAAAAAAATTCACAAAAAACCCCCACCAAAACAATAGCACTGGTTTGGTGGTGTATTTTTTGGGGGGTTGTTGTTTTTTGGTTTGGTTTGGTTTCTGTGTTGTGGGGTTTTTTTGTTTGCTTGTTTGTTTGAGCAATTTGCAAGAACTAGAGGATGAGAAATAAGATTTTGCAAGGTTTGGTAGAGTGTTGTGAAGCAGCATCTGCCCTGTCTTCACTAGGGGCGTTATCTTTGAAGGGAGAGAAGGATTGTCGCCCTACTAAGTTGAAGAATTTGATGGATGAGAGCTAAGCTACTGGGTGCATTTGAAGATAATAGTTATTTGTAAGAGGTACCTAGTGCCTTAAGAAATGCAATATATTATTGAAAATGACATGATGAAAATTACATTAGATGATAACGGATTGTACTTGCAATAATAAAATTGTATTTGCAGTAGTAAACCCATAATTTATATAATACCAAGACAGCAGCTTGCTTTCAGAAAGTGTATTTTTTCTGGCCTATAATTTTTTGAACTTTTATACTTGAGGGAAGTATAAATAAACTGGTACTTGCCGATGTGGATGAGCCTGAAAAAAAGTTTTGATAAAGTTTTTAAGTTGCAGGTACTGTGTGTGAAGGTCTGCAAGTGATGTGTTTAAAAAAAGAACACCTAAACTTTTTTTTTAGTTTAATCCTGTTACCTGCCGAATGAAACAACTTGTTTCAGTGTCTTTCTAGAAGGATGCAAAGCATTTCAACTACAGGTATTAATTTGATCTTTGTTTTGTGTGCTAGGCTGCAATTTGCAGATGCAGTCAACCTCTCTCAGGTTTCAGTGCCAGGTGCCTGGAAGATGAGCACATGTTGCAAGCCATCAGTAAAGCGAATCCTTCAAATCGCTACATGTACGTCATGGACACCAGACCAAAGGTACACACATACTCGAGGCTCTACAGACTTGCCTGTCTTCCTGAACATTAGAGTACAGGGATACAGTGCAATTCTGAAAAAATTAGTTAAGTAGGACTCTATCATGGGCAAAAATGTTCTTTAAAGGTAAAGTCAAGCTTCATTAGTCACGTATTTAATTACTTTTTTTCTTAAAGAAGTTGAAGCCCTTTCAGGATTACACTAGAATTCACTGAATATGCTGGTAAACTTCTGAAGTGGTATATTTAAAAATATGCTAAATGTAATTAAGGAAGACATAGGGGAAGTTCTTGTGTAGCATTCTGAGGTCATCATAGAATTATAGACTGGTTTGGGTTAAAAGGGACCTTAATGATCATCTAGTTCCAAATCCCCTGCCATGGGCAGGGACACCTACTAGACTGGGTTGCTCAAGGCTCCGTCCAATCTGGCCTTGAACTCTGCCAGGGATGGGGCAGTCACAGCTTCTCTGGACAGCCTGTTTCAGTGCCTCACCATCATACTTTGTCACTATCTGATTAAACTGAATTATGTTGGGGGGGTTTTGCCTTGAGTTGGAATGTGGGGTAACTTTCACTCTGTAGAATCATCTGCTTTTAAATTAGTATTCATTTCACTCAGATCTCTGAATGCAGGAAAAACATATCTGGAAAACAAGTATCTAAAGTGAAAATCCTGCACTGTAGGATCTGCACTTATTTTTCAGCATTAAATCAGGCTGACAGACTGAAACTGAGCCAGCTGTTGTTTTTTATAATTGTAATTTTTATAGCTGCAGCAACTTATTAGCTTCTTACCTCTAAAGCCAATATTTTTAGGATGCCTGGAAAGCACATTTGATTAAGTCTGGGGCTTTCCTTTTTAGGTTAATTGTTTCATAGTGGTTTTGCTCGGAAATAAGTAAAGTTTTACTAGTGGAAATACAGAGGAGAGAATAGGAAATCATTGAATGCATTATTCAGATATGTCAACTCTAAAGGTGGACTGACTTTTTATATACTATGCCTTTCTTACACTTGAATGCTGTCAAGTTGATTGGCCACAAACCTTTAATTAATTGGATTCTGCTTATCATATGTGCTCTTGTGTGTTTCTTTTCCCAGTGTTTTCCATTGAAATTGTATGACTTTGTTTTCTTAATTCAAGAGGTTTTTTTTGTTTCAAGTGATGTTTTTCAATATTTTTATTTTGCTCTTTTAAGCTTAATGCAATGGCAAACAGAGCTGCTGGGAAGGGCTATGAGAATGAAGACAACTACTCTAACATTAGGTTCCAGTTTGTTGGCATTGAAAATATTCATGTAATGAGATCCAGCTTACAGAAACTTTTGGAAGGTATGCTCTAACTGTGCTATAACAGTGTATATGAAAACATGATAAATATTTTTCTCAAGTTTTTAATAATAGCTTAACCAAACTTTATTGATATTCCTATATTTTATTCCAGCTTTGTGTAGTACCAGTTTGCTGGGATCTGTGGTAATGAATTACCTTAAACTGAGGTTAAGTAAACTCAGTTTTAAACAAAATTGTGAGTAATATCTGTAGTTGATCTTCAGATCAGGTTTTGGGGTAAATGAACACAGTTCTACTTCAGTCTGTATAATTCACTAGAATTTTGCTGAATGCCAGTCTAGTAGTAGAAAGTATCCTTCGGGTCAAAGAAGAAGACATATGCAATAACTTACTTCTCAGACCCTTGTAGAAATATGCCATCAGTGGACTGATCAGGAAGGAAATGCTATGAAAATGATTCATAATTCAAAATGAGGAAGATCTCTTTTTAACTTCTAGCTTCCCCAGACGTGTTGAACTGAATGTTCTCAAATTAGGAATGTGATGCCAATGACCCTGTTAGTTCAACAGCCGTTGTAACCAGGACCGTCCTCAGTTTTATTTATAACAAACTGCTGTTATTTATTTTTCAGCATGTGTCCTGCTCTTCAGCTTTGTCTATTTGCCTGATTAGCCCTCAGAATTGAACAATTACATTTACAATCAATATGTAAGACATAATCCTTCCCAACAAAATTTTGTAATGGGAGTACACCATGAAGCATGCTAGGGGGATTTACAGTCTATTCTTTGATTCAGCTGATTTTTATTGCACTGAATACAAGATCCTTAACAAAAGTATTCTTAAGTAGTGTGTCAGTGTGGACATGATGACTCTGCTCCCCTGATGGGCATCTGTACAACAGCAGTGGAAAAATCATAGAATCATATAATAGTTAGATTTGGAAAAGACCTTAAGGTCACCAGTTCCAAGCCCCTGCCATGTTCCGAGCCCCCACCTCGAGCTAAGCCATGTTGCCCAAGGCTCTGTCTAACCTGATCTTGAACACTGCCAGAGATGGCAGCTTCGCAACAGAGATTCACAACTTCCTTGGGCAACCTGTTCCAGTGCCTCACCACCCTCACAGTAAAGTTCTTCTTCCTTATATCCAGTCTAAACTTCCCCTGTTTAAGTGTTAACTCATTACTGCTTGTCCTGCCACTACAGTCTGTAATAAGGAGTCCCTTCGCAGCATCCCTATAGGCCCCCTTCAGATACTGGAAGGCTGCTATGAGGTCTCTACGCAGCCTTCTCTTCTCCGGGGTGAGCAGCCCCAACTTTCTAAGCCCATCTTCATAGGGCAGGTGCTCAAGCCCCTTGATCATCCTTGTGGCCCTCCTCTGGACTTGTTTCAACAGTTCCGTGTCCTTTTTATGTTGAGGACACCAGAACTGCACACAGTACTCCAAGTGAGGTCTCACGAGAGCAGAGTAGAGGGGCAGGATCACCTCCTTTGACCTGCTGGTCACGCTCCTTTTGATGCAGCCCAGGATACGGTTGGCTTTCTGGGCTTTGAGTACACACTGCTGACTCATGTTAAGTTTCTCATCAGCCAACACCCAGAAGTCCTTCTTCTCACATAGACTAAATTTTTGAATGTGGTATTAAAGTCTAGTTTTCATATATTCAAAAATATAGTACTATGTATCAGAGAAAATTGAACTTTGGTAAGCAAAAAGGTTTTGTCTGTCAAAAACCAGTGGTTTTGCAGGAAATATTTGAGGGTCAATAACAGCTGCTGTGGTTTGCCGAGTATATTTTGATGATGTTAACCAAGTGTCAACCAAGTGTTGAGTGTGTTAACCAAGAGGGTTTTTCTGAGGGTTGTGTAGAGTGTCTGTATGGAGTTGTTCAGGGTTTTTTCATTTGTTAAAAACAAACTCTGCTTCTGACCCACTGTACTTCAGTCTGCAGGTTCTAGTCACCTCTTGAACTGCTGCATGAGGCATAGCTAGTAGTATGTTAAGAACAATCAAGCAATGGAACATTGAGATTTTGGGTCTCAGATGAATGCAGGGCATGTGTCTATGATAGGATCCATATAGCCAAAACTGTCTTAAATGATAGTTATTTTGAAGTAGCTAAAGATCTTAGTAGTACCATAAATCATACTTCAATCTTTTAGGGACCACAAGGGACTGGAGAGGTGTGTGTTGGGTCCCCCCCTCCCCAGCATTTTAAATATCAAAACAGTGTCAGTGCAGTTTCTTTGTTTCATCACTAACAAGTATAAAAATGTCTGTTAACTCAGAAATGGAAAGTAATTCTTTGGACACCACGTGTGTTCTTATCTCTGCCTTGGTTTATAAAAATACAGAAGTCTAGCTAGAATGGGGAAATGCTAGTGGTGAAATATTTTTACCCAGCTGAAAATTCTGATGAAAGCAGATTTTGACAGCAGTGTCTGGGTGAAAACAAACAGGGCTGGAAGCCTGTTTATTTTCCAGCTAAAACCTTGTGCTTTAAACTACAAGGTACAGAATGTAGGGGTTGGCATTGCCTTATCTGTCCAATCCCTTCCATGCAGATGTTTGAATTTACATACGTGAATATTTTCATTATCTTTACCATGGAGTTGTGTACCTGTTTGTGTACTACTGTGATTGAACAAATGTACGGAACCACCGGTGTACAGAGAGTGTGAGCTATCTGAATGGATCAAATCGTTCTCTGATTTCCTCCATGTGCTAGACCTGTCAGAAGCACACTTGCCTGATGATGCCGTCTCTTTCAAAGACTAGGGAAAACTAACATAGGTTTTGCTGCTTTTACTGATATTTAAAGACTAACATTTAAAATTTGGTTGTCTGCCAGGGTTTCTTGATGTTTTGTTACCTCATTGTGCTATGGTTTGATAGATAGTTTTTGTAGATGACAAAGATCCAAGGACTTTAGAAAAGGTGCTGGAATGCTTACTTGGGAGCCTTTGTTGTAGCATTCAACAGCAATTGGCACTACGGCTCTTCTGAGCAATGGGGAGCATACCAAAGCTTTCATGGCTGAAAGCTGAGAACCGTGTAGTGCAGGAAAGGTCCAGGAGGCAGTGGTTTGAGAGGTTATAGCCTTCATTAGATTAGGGGATTTGACTGAACATGAAATTGTGTCACAGAATGACTTGGTGAATTTTGTTCTCCACTTTCTCTGCTGATTCACTTGCTCCTGTAGTCGGAGATAAAGATTATTTTGCAGCTGCTGTCTGAATATCCCCACTGATAACTTTTGGCTACAGAGCCTTTTTATTTCAATTTGGGCCCCACTACCTTAGAATTGGAGAATTGTTTCAGTTGGAAAAAGACATTTAAATCAAGTCCAACTGTTAAGCTTGGTAGAAAGCAGGCTTCTACTGTGGCAGGGGCAGGTAGTGATGTAGATGGCAAGCTTGAATATCTTCTTTTAGAATTGCATGTAGCTAAAGTTATGTTAGCCAGCAAGTATTTCTTTTATCATTGCCAGAAGTTTGTCATGTTTTGACAGTAATGTAACTTTGTGAGTTGCTACTCAGTATCATATAATAAGAAGATAATCTTTCTTTTTTGTGAGTTGTGTCCATGTTTGAAACTTTCAAGTTTACACCTCCTGCTGCTATGCTGGAAGTCACCTTTTCTTTGAGTTCTTCCCTGCCCTCTCAAGTGGTATTACTGTTATAGAATCAAAGTTTGCTAAGAAAACATGCTAGAGATCAGTCAGAATTATAGTATATCAGAACTGGAGATAGAAAATCTGGGTGGTTTTCAGTTCATCGCCATGTCCTTATAGTGCATTTGCTTTATTCTCCTCAGCAGAGTAGAGAAGGTGATGAAGCTCTGGCAGTCTGATTACTCTGAACTTGTCTGGATGCAGCTACTTCCTTCTAATAGTTGTAATTTTTCAGTATTTCTGGAAAGCTTTTGGCATTTCTCTTGCCTTACCCTTACCTTGTGTGGTGAGGCAAGGGTAAAGCTCCCTGTTGGGGTTAACCAGTGTATTTACTTTAAATATTACTTTGTCAAAAAGACACAAAAATCTTACTCTTGTTATTTATAGTTAGTGTAGATCTACAGACTCAAAAAACATTTGTTGAAAGTGTTAAAAAAACATTTGTTAAGAGTGTTAAAAAACATTTAATGGTGTTTTCCTGGAAGATTTCTAATCAGTTTACAACATGGGGCATTAGAAACAACATACAATTTTTATTTTCTCCATTGCAGGTTATAGGTAGCTGTAACTGTTTATGGCTTTCTAACTCTTGGTTTCTTTCAGTCAGTGGCACAAAGGGTTTGTCAGTCAATGACTTTTTGTCTGGTTTGGAAAGTTCTGGATGGCTGCGTCACATCAAAGCTGTGTTGGATGCTGCCGTCTTCCTAGTCAAGGTAACTTGCATGCTGCTGCTTTGTTTGATAGGAGGTTGACTTGCCACCCGGCAAGTATAGTGTAAAATTGTAATTTGTACAGTGTAAAATTCTGCAACTGACCTTTTTGGAGGTAGGTGCTTACTATATAAATACATTGATACACTATTTTAAGTGGGTTTGATTTGAAATGTTGAATATGCCAGCTGATGTTTTGGGGTATTTACTTTCTTAATGCTCTTTGGTCACCTTACTGGGAGATGAAGTGATTCTTACGTTGCCTGGCGCATTTAGGTATTTATGAAAGTTGTAGCCAGTTTGGAGGTAGATGGAGCAACAGGAGTTACTTTAGTTCAAAGTGGACAATTGCCCTGAAGGTGACCCTCCAAAATATTTCCTAGCCGTTAACTTTTGTGTATTTTGATGAACAAGTGGGTATCGTCAACGACGTGTGGTGTTCTGGGGTTTTTAACGTGTTTAGTCTGAAATATGTAGTACACTTCTTTCTTACTTTGCATTACTCAGGGGTTTATGAGCTCAGTTTTATAAGGGGTGGAAAGAAAACTTGGAATCACTGTAGATGTTCTTGTTACCTTGTGCAAAGGTGGTAGTGGAATTTCTTTTCTTTATAAGGGTTTTTCTACACTTCCATGGAGAAAAATTCCTAGCTTTCTGATAGTGTCAAATCCTTTCCTCATAATAAACATTTTTCTGGTTTTGTAAAATAAAATGGTCTGTGCTGTGAGTTTGGGATAAATGTAGCTATTGTATTTATTGACTAAATTTTGACTACTGCCTGGAATAGAACATTCACTAAGAAACAACTGTGTCTTTCAGGCAATAGCAGTTGAGAGCGCAAGTGTGTTAGTGCACTGCTCAGATGGCTGGGACAGGACTTCCCAAGTTTGTTCTCTTGGAGCTCTCTTGCTAGATTCCTATTACAGAACAATCAAAGGATTCATGGTAAGCAAGTTTCTGCATTGTTGATTTGTTCCTTGGTAAATAAAGGATGTAATAAGATATTTGAGTAAGAAAGGAAGCAGTGTAAACCTACGGATGCTTTTTTTGGATTCGCAGTATACTGATAAATCTTTCTTTTAGAAATACTTTTGCCCGTGGGAAGAAGCATTTATTTAAAATCAAGAAAACTGAAATGCAGATAGTGTGTTGCTTCAGGCACCCTGCAGAAATGTTGCAATGATTGTCTTTTGCCTCCAAAAAAACCTCCTTACCTATGACATAAGGATTCCAAAGTGCTTAAGTGAGATAGTACATCTACTAAGTTATAGCACCTCTGTGCTTTTGTCATTTGTCCCCAGATCAACAGTATTACAATCTAAAAATGAAAGCTCCCCCAGTAACAGAGAAGAGAAAATCTTTAAGCAATCTACATTTCTTCATCTTTCTATAGAGAGGAAGAATATTTTTGGAAGAATTATTCTGAATTTTAGAGTAGGAAAATCGACAGTATTCTGCAGCGGTAATATATGGTGTTTTGGGAAGTCCTGAAAGTACATAAAGGTAGTTCCATGTGTTGATTGGAACTAACTGTTTCCTTTTGTTTTGTTTTGGTTTTTACCCTCTAGGTCTTGATAGAGAAAGACTGGATTTCTTTTGGGCACAAGTTCTCTGACAGGTAGTTCACTCTTCCAATACTGTAAAATGTATTTTTTTTTAATAATTAAAAATAGATTAAACCACACTGAACTTAACTAAGTATTCTTAAAAAAATAAGAAAAAAAAGACAAATTGTGAATGTTAAACTGCTGCAGTGTTGCTAGAAATCTTGCAATGAGTAAGCTATTTTCAGTAGACAGCACGCTTCATGTATTGTTATTTATTTAAATACCTACTAGATAATAGATTTATATTATAGACGTATGTCTAGTGCTACTGATGCCTCACTCTTGCATGTTGATGACTGCAGCTAGGTCTTCACATATGCAAAATCAATTTAAAGCTACATCCTAGCTATTTAGGTAATATAAAATACCATTGATATCTTTAAAAATGAGTGTACATTTATTCTTGCTTTCAATGATGAAGCCTACCTTTAGAAGTCCTGTATGTTTTTCTCTTGATCTGCCTATCATAAGCTATGACAATAGCATTGCTGCTATTTACTGCTTATTAATTTGCTTTTAGCTAATGCACTCCAAATATGACTATGGAAGTAATAGACACAAAGGAGCTTAACTGTCTTATGTTGCTGTTCTGTACTGAATACAGATGTGTGATTACTTACAAGTCAGAAAAAAGGTTAAATATAAACTTATTTCTATTCAAAAATCGTCCCAGTTCTCAAAGTTAGGTGCTTAGTATCCAAACCAAAGCTAGTGTCAAATTAATATGCTGTCACTTTTAAAATAAGTGCAACTAAGACTTTTTTGATTTTAAACTTAAACTGGGTTTAATCTGTTTATGGGATCTTTTTTTCAGGTGTTCTCAGCTGGATGGTGATCCAAAAGAGATCTCGCCAGTGTTCACCCAGTTTCTAGAAAGTGTGTGGAATCTGACTGAGCAGTTTCCACAAGCCTTTGAGTACAATGAAGCTTTCCTCCTTCAGATCCATGAGCATGTCCATTCATGTCAGTTTGGCAACTTCATTGGAAACTGCCAAAAAGAGCGAGAAGAACTAAAGTAAGCAGATGTTATTGTAACGCATCTTATTTATTCTGGCATCTAAGAACTCCTGTGAATATTCTTCATTTTAGGCTCTGAATAGAAATAATGGCAGGATTGGTAGTACTGAAAATGATGTTGATCTGCATTAGGGAACAGCAGTGCTTCTTATGCCTTTGCACACTGAAGACGGTCTTTCTAATTCTGGGGAAAAATCCCAAGTGTATTTTTTTCATAGGGAAATTAAGGCTTATTCTGCTCCTACCACCCAAAAGTAAGCTTAAGAAGTATCACTTCATTCCCTGCCCCAGTCTATTCTTAGGTAACCTTAAAATTCTTGCCTGCTCAAAACTAATTATTGTCAGTTAGAAGTATTAATAGGATGTCTCCTAATGCTTTCAGCTGGAAAACTTCTGTAAAGTTTACATCAGTTCATCTTTGTTTCAAACTGCACTTTAAAGGATTTATCGCAAAACTTGCACAGCATAAGCATTAGCACCCAATTACATCAATACTGACGGTTCTAGCAAACATTAGGATAGGCCAGGAAGAAATTGATTTTACTGAGAGTTTTTAATTCGGGATTTATAAGTATTTCTGGTAAATTTAAAAACATTGATTTTATTATGCTGAGCTGTACAGCTTTTGTTTTTTGCTTGCAATAAAAGTTTTGACTTTGATCTTTCCTTGCTTTAAGATTAAAGGAGAAGACTTATTCCTTGTGGCCATTCCTTCTGGAAGAACAGAAGAAATATCAGAATCCTCTGTATAATCCAGACTTTTCTCCAGAACTAACTCTTTTGGAGCCAAATACAGTATCATTCAATTTTAAGTAAGTTTGAATTATATACAGTATCACTTCTTCAATTTGTCTTTATCCTGTGCAGTTAAAACTGTCCGCTTTGTGCAGGTTTTGGAGAAATATGTACCATCAGTTTGATCGAAGTATGCATCCCAGGCAATCTGTGTTCAATATTATAATGAATATGAGTGAACAAAATAAACAACTGGAAGAAGACATTAAAGAACTGGAAGCTGTAAGTATTAAAAAAATAAGTGTGTGTACTTGTGACTTAAAATTTACACTTGCACACTATAATAATGCTGCTAGCTTTCACATGAATGTCACTACTGCATGGCCTAGCACTTATTCTATGTAGTGTTGACTTCGACTTTCACCGTATGACTCTGATGAATGCCAGACTATGCAGCCAATGTAGCTGTGTTGCTAAACCACAGACACTGAAAATATTTTATTTCCATTATAGCTACTAAAATGGAAGCAGTAAGTATTGTCCTTCTTTTAAATTCATATGCAGTGCATGCTCTTATAAGTCACTAATTATGGGGCATGTACATTGTAATCCTTTTCTGAGGGCAGAGATCAGATGTCTAGAAATGATTTCTACTAGGTAGAAACATATCTATATATGGGTATACAGGTAGAACAGCGTATATAGGTATATAGGTAGAACAGCGTATCTCCCCTTAGTATGACTTAATTGGCTTTTATTTGATACTTTGATAATATGGCTTTTAATTGATACTTTGCTGTAGTCAGTTAAGGTGTTGAAACTTCACAGTAACACTTTTTAAGAAATACGAAAGTTTCCTAGTTACGAGTTTTAATTTGTTGTAGCTAGAAGTGGTAACACAACTCCTGTATGCTGTGTTGGGGAAGGGGTGGAAAGAGGGAAGTACAGATTTTCTAGGAGGAAAGATTTTTATTGAACTGATCCTACTGTAATGAAATGAATGTAGGTCACTTTGTTTCAAATGTTAATTGTATATTTAAGTTTTTACACAATTGAAGCAGCAAGATGAAAACCCAAGATGAAGCGAGCTGAAGGATAAGCACGATGTAAAGTCTCAGTTCTGAATTTTCTATAACTCTGTTCCAAAGTGTTACCTTCACCTGACCCCACATTTCTCACCTGAGTGATGAAGAGATGTAGTTGTTGTTTGAGCTCTCAATGTAGGCTTTCCTACTCCTGTTTCAAAACATTCAAAAAATTGGATGCCAAGAAACACCAGTCTTCTGGGCTCAGTCTCAGTTCTAATAGGGCACAAACATGTCAACAAAAAAAATCAGTTAACTAGTTCAAGTTACTGGATGAGATTGTTTGATTGGAGGAAAAAAAAAAAAACAACCCAAGAAAACCCCACCACAAAACCCCAAACCCTTAATCGAAATGTTTTCTCTTCTTTTGCTCAGTGCTTGCAGAATAGGTCCTTTCCTGCAGTGCTGCTTTCTAATTTTCATCTTTTGATGTATTCCTTCATTTGGACAAACTGTACTGGCATTTTTCAGATCTAAAAGAAAAGTTTTCTGAAGTTTTATTGGGAAGGATATAAGGGCTTAGGTGTGAAACCGCTCTTTTGTCTTCAAGAGTCTTGTGATCTGCTGTCAGCTGCTTGCTTACTAATAATACCAAATCCTATCTTCATCTGCCTGTACTCCAGAAAGTATACCCATCTTGATGGTAAGCCAAACAAGGGCAAGCCTGGAAGAACCTGTTCCTTTCTGTGGACATTGACAGGCAACCTTTCTGCCTTCTGCTTAGTTTGCAAATCTTAAGCTTACAGTGTTCACAGTATCTGCTGTAAACTGGGGGGAAAAATGTGTTATCCAGTGGCCTAACATTTCATAATACTGTTACATTTCTAAGTATTATCAGTCATGCTCACTGTTAGTAACTATTCTCTGTATTTCAGAAAATAAAGCAGAGAAATGGGCAGCCAGATGCAGTCCTTATGAAGGAACACCAGCAGCCTGCTCATCCTGCACCCACGGCACTGAAGACCCCTCCATGCTTCAAGAAGGAGCAGCCACTGATCCCTGTGAATGATGCTGTAAGAACTATAGAGGGCAGCAACACAGCAGACAATCGCTACAGTGAATTCGTGGCAGAGTTCTCAAAAGCTGAGCCTGCTGTTGTCAGCTTGGAGTATGGCGTGGCCAGAATGACCTGCTAATTAAAATCCAGCACTGTGCTCCTCTTCTTAGACTGTTTGAATTAAGAGATGGATTATTTTGAGGATGGGTCTCTGCTGCATGACCAAAACATGATTTGTATATCAACAAGTTTTGTTAACATAGACTAGAACAACATGCCAGTTGTCACATGTTTGCTGTTCTTTTCAGGAAAAGATGGGGGCAGTCGGTAAGTAGTGACTAAAAATCCAGGAATAGTATGTCTTTGGACTTAAGTCAGTTTGCACTAAATTGATTAAAATAGTAATATTACTTTATTCAATATAGGAAAACACAGGTGGTCTTTCACAAATTGATTTTATTTGGGCAAATAAACTTGAACTTTCTATTTTAGGAAATGAAGCTACATGTATATATCGTGTATAACATAAGTATGTATACCCTTGTTTAATGTCTCCCAGTACTAACATTCATCGTATTAAGTGCCATGGGAAAGTATGGTATATTTCAAATCGTAAATAGTCGGCCTTAAACCTGTCAGATCAATGATATTGTCCTTTACTGCTGCCATCTACATGGCTCTGTTTACATTGTATTTGCTTAAATTATTTCCTTAAAACAGGACTGAATATAAGGAATGAAGTATGCCTAACCTGGCGCTGCCTTTCAGCAAATAGCTATATGAATGTTAACTTATCGCCGAAGACTGTTTTTTCTTCCATTTCGTCTGTTGTTTAAAATGTAGTAAATTGGCCTGATTTTCCTCTCTGGCAGGTCAGTAGATTAAGCATCACTGAAGCTACGGGTTGTCTGATCTTAAATGTTTTGATTTGTGGCAAGGCATTTACGTGTAGAATAAAAAGATTAAAACATATCATGTAAGAAAACAAAATTTAGCCAATAACTGAATAGTCACATTCATTCAGATTGTTTATTTGCTGTGCAGTTGTTTGAAGTTGCAAGAATGGAAGCAGAAGTTTTGGAAGTGTGGTGTGCTGACATTGTTCCTAAGTAAAAAGGAAGTCATTCGTGTGTCTGAAGCTTATGGAAAACTGAGTGCCCCCTAAATAATTTGTTTTAGTTATTAGTGGAACCCTGTTCTCATCTTGCAAAAATGTGTCCAACCTGTGCATGTATAAAGTAATTTCAGTGCAATCTAGAGCTGTTTATGTTGTTGGAGAGAGGACAAAATCCTCTAGTAAGATGCAGTAGAGATCATGAGATGTAAGAGGAAAGGAAAAAAAAGGAAACAGAGTTTGTAAGTTTAATTGCGCATCTGTAAGCTTCCAGTAAGGGAAGAGGGTTTTGCTGAAGTTTGTCTCATGGATTTGCTGAGCAGATTGCTGATGTCCAGCTCTTAGAGGTGTAAGTTACAAGTTTGGGTATTACAATCCCTGGATGTGACTTTGTGACAACTGAAAATGAGTTTATTCTCATCCTAGTCCCTGAAGTCTGTTTGGTTAAAATTACTGGTGTGCCACACACAGTTTGATGTAATGGGCAGCAGTGTTTCGCTCTGCACCATACTGGATCCAGGACTCTTAACAAGGCCAGTATAGGTCATGATCAAGTTGCACTTGTGAAGCTGTCTGGGAGAAATTAACTGTGAGTCCTGTATTTGACAATTAATTCACCCTTTTCACTAATTTGTTTTTTAAAAGCCTGTAAGTGTAAGTAAATACTCTAAGTATTTTTATTCCCAAAGATACAAGCATAGTGTCATCTTTAAAATACATTATCCAGTCATTTGAACACATTTAGAATTTCTCCACTACAGGTTTTGATACTTTCATGTTTGCACAGTGGTGCCTTACAGGTTTGCAGCAAGAGAGGTTTTTGTGCCTTGTTGTTTGTTGTCTCACCTTCTCCCTCACCTTCTGTACCAACTTGGTTGTGTGGTTTTCCTTTGGAAAAACATATGTTCGGCTTGTATCACAGTACTGAAACAAATTTATTGCTGACAATATAGGTCATTGCTGACAATTTATACTTGTTTTGATATTTAGCTGCTCTGGTGTGCCATGTACACTTTTCATATTTATTGTTTATAGACTCAAAAGATTATATTAAGCTTTTTTGGAAATATTGTTGTATGTTGTTTTTACTTTAACTGAGTGCCCCTGTATATAAGGCATTTGAAGAGAAGATCTGTTCCCTTTCAGTATTGTTGAAGTGAGTTTATTTCAGTCTTCATGCCTTTTTTTATTGGCAGAGTTCACTGCTTGGCAAAAGGACTTGAGATGTTTTTTTTTAATTTAAATCAAGGTATGTTAGGCCAGCTTGAGAATCCTATAGAACTATCTGAAGAACCTGTTTCTTCATCAAAAAATACAATACTTCCTGATCTAAAGTAAATATTTAGTTAATGTGAATTGAGTTATATAAGGTCATTTTGTGGAGCAGCCTTCCTATAAAGTCCAGATAGCTCTGCCAACTCAGACTCCAGGGTCACAAGTGAGAAAAGTTCCTGCAGAGAGGCAGCTGTCTCTTCTCATTTGCTGTTTAGGCTTAAGCCAATGCTACCTAAAGCATGTGGGACCTGTGGTGAAGTAAATAGATGGTAGCAAAGTGAGCTCCAACAGAAAACTTGGCAGGATGGCTGGGACTCAGCACAGTGGGGCTGTTCTGTGTCCTTCAGGAAAGGTTTAAGGAACATCAAGCAAGCTGATGAAAAGAAACGGTGGCAGAAGCCTTCTGGGAGCAGAATAAAATTTAATTTCAGTTTGTCTTCTTCATAAACGTGCTGCTCTGAGAGCAGTTACGGTACTGAAAGGTGCCTGGTACAGATCAAATAACACACAGAACAGTTTCATGCTGTGGCAGTAATGTGTGGTTACACTCACCAGTTGCTTGGGAATGTTATGTCCCAGATAGGAAGTTGCTGTAGTTGGTTCTGCGCCATCAGTTGTGCAACTTTGGCATTCAGTGCTTCGTCTTGAGAAGGTCTTGGTGTAAAGTCTTTGTGTTTCTGTGTTTGGTCCTGTGCTTGATCTTTTTCCTAATCTGAATGCTATATCAAAGAAATAATTCCTTTTGATTAACCAAGCTTACTTAGTCTTACTTGAGGAACAGAAACTGATTTTACTTTGTACTCCCAGCAATTTAAAATATTTATTTCACTAGTACCGGAAGAGTGGGGCTTATTTTGTGGGAGGCTTGCTATTGTCATAATGTATTCTTCAATACAAGTTTAAATATCCAACTGTTCTGTTTTGTAGGACAACTGCCAAATCAACAGACTAAGAAATTAATTAAGCGACACTGAACTGAGCCTGTGCATTTTCCACACATGTCCAATTACTGGTGACCTAAATCTAGGCCTGAAGTCTGGAGAGTCCATTTAGAGAATTGGAATAGCAGTCCCTCCATAAAAATGCACATCCCTATGTGGAACAAATACCTTAACAAAATGTTTTTTTAGAGGGAAAGTTATACCAGATCAAACTGTGACAGTTTGATGTGTCTCTTCCCCAGGACAAGCACACTGGGGAATGCCTTGCTGGGAAAGGTTATGTGTTCTTCCTGTGTAGCTGCTCTTCTCATAAGGCCTTTTGATAAAGTAGCGTATCAGCAAATCTATGAGAACTTGCTACTCCCACTCTGGTAAACCAAGCACATAACTGGTTACACAGTTGAGCTGAAGAGGGGCTGGAGTAGCTCAGCTCAACTACTATCCTCTTAGTAGTAAGAGTAGTAACTGATAAAATGAAATTTGGTATTAAAATAGCACAGTGCACATGCTATTAACATCTGGTTTTTAAAGGCTTGCCCTGATCTTGAGCAAGTGCAGCTAGCACAAGGGCCTTGCATAAGTATGACAATTCCTTTCTAGTTAGTTTAAAGATAATCTGATTTTTGAACTAGATCATACCTCCACAGTGATAATTTATAGATCTTTAGGTCAGAACGTTGCTCTTACCACTTGTTTAGTTGCTAATGGTTCTAAACTTGTAGCTGATAGTAGGCTAAGTATACTGGTCGTGAAACCTGTAATAACCTTTAGGATTAGATCTTTAGATTAGACTAAAGTCTGCTTTGACTTGCTTTCACTACTTATGCCACACTTTTCTCCAAGTGCTGCTTATTGTGGTATTTAATATGTCAGCTGTAACAGGCTTCTTAATGCTTTGGATATTTTAGAAGCCTGGAACTACTGAATCTTCATTCTGAAGGCTTGGGTCGGCCTTAGTGAGCAGTGTGGGTGAGCTCATTTGATCTAGCTAGCTTGACCTGCCTACATGTTAAATAGCATTGAAAATCAGCATGGCATCATAATTCAGTGGAGCAACTTCTGTACATGCAATAGGCTTAAGGAAAAGGATGTAGTTGGGAACCCTTGTCACAGCATGTAGCAAGGAACAGGACCCTGCTGGGGTATGACTCATGGAAAGTAGACCAGTTTTGATGTCCACCAGCAGCTTGAGGACTGAAGTCAGAAGGTCAGAGGCGTGCTGCTTCTAAGATCAGTTTCCAGGTCCCAGAGAATTCGATGACCTGGTCTGTTAAGCACTTGTGGCTGAGCAAATCCACATCGGCATTAAGCACCAGAAGATATGTATATGGATCTGTGCTTCTTAATCTACTGACTTCAAGTAATACATGTCCTGGTGGTGACTTGGAAATTGGGGTGCAATATTTTGTTTGTTCTTGTTTATAGCTTAACTTTTGAGGTCAGTTGTATAGTGTGTATAATTAAGTGGGATTAAATTTTATGACACTATTAAAGTGCTTCTCCTCTTAATGACAGGTTAGCATGTGCATATATTGTGCTTTGTATCTCTGCATATATTTCTGCTGAATGCTTTTCTTGCAGTCTAGGCAGCCTTGGTGAAGTCTCATGCTGCCCCACATTGGCATTCCTCATTACCAAGCATTACAGGTTGGTTTCTTTGCTCTGTCTTACTGTCGCTCTTCATTCTTACGGTTTATCTTTATGGCCGTCTGTTGGCAATGTTCTTTGGCAAACGTCTTTCCAGCAAAGAAAATGAGTTTGTTGTTTTTCTTGTCTCAGGGATTTTTTTACCCCTGAATTAGTGAACTTGAAAAATACAGCTTAATCTCCCTTTAGGGGCTACTGAGTGCCTGTTGACTTCCACGGTCAGTTTACTTACACATTGTAACTTCAGACCTGGCTATTAAAAACAACAAAATTCAAATGTTGGATGTGGCAAAGAGAAAGAAAACTGTTTTCATTGTAATGTATCTGGAAAGAC